AATCAGTTTCTGAATTGAAGAGACAGCATACGTCAACACAGTCAGTACCAGTATATATTATTAAAAAATATGATAATGATTGAACATCATTGGTCTCACAATAGAGAAATTCACTTCTGTATCCTGGGCTGCCACTCTGAGGCGCCTAGGGAGCAATCGGGGGTTAAGGGTCTTACTCAGGGACTCAGAGTGCAGGCTGTGAGGTTCAAACCAGGTAAGTGTAAACTTCTCAGAGCACAAGTGTACTGCTCTAACCACTAGGCCAACAACATGAACTGAGAATGGAAAACCAGTTCCTTCTTTGATGCAAGGATTCCCTAATATTTAAAAGCCTCAAACGTCTACAGTTCTACTGACCATAGACTTGCAAAAACTGAGAGTAAGTTGACAGGGCAGCATAAACAACAGAGTTTCATTCATGACATTATTTCTTAAAGCTACAAAGTAGCTAAATTTGTGTTCATCGTTTTAAAACATCAAATCTTGTTGCACATGTCCTTACATAACATGTATGCCCAATGTATGCTGCTGCATGTCATTGTTTGCTTTTAGCCTAACCTTGACCAATCAATCAAATAAATAGACCAACCAAAATATTACAACCTATAGATATTACCTGAAGAATGTGCCACATACTGTATGGGTTAATTTGATCTTATTAGACATTAAAATTCTTCTGTTTGGATGTTAAAAGGCTTTTGTCCAATTCAGAGCGTGACTAATAACAGTAACTTACATTTTTAAGATCTAAGCTCATTGAATAAATGTGATATATAAAGAAAAAGTCCAACCACAGGAGATGTGAGGAGTAATGAAATTACTTTGTGTCTTAGTCACTTCCCTTTTTGTGTGCAAATTATAGATCTCATTTCAGTGAATCAAAGATTTTTACATTTTTTATCCAGAGTAGAAAACGTTTGATTTGACTCTGAATGCGCAAAAAGTTGCTTTTGGATATTCTTTTTTTATGTTTAATAAGAAACCAGTATTTTTGTTTTCTATCCATTTAAACAAATGTGTTTTGCTATGTTTGTGCAAGGATTACTAAAAGCTTCTGGAAGCAACTGTTCCTTTTAGAGATTACTTACATTTTCCCCATGAAAAAGTGGCTCACCACAAAGAGGATGATTATAGGAGGTTGTGGGCGGTGTGTGGATGGGGGGTATTGTCAAGTTAAAAGTGGAGCTAAACTGTTGATCAGAAACTGGGAAGTGTGTGGGATAAGATAGCATTTATAAAATCCAGGAAATGGAAGCATTGTCTGCATAATAAATGACACGTCATGATCTTTTGGGTTCAATGAAAACCCAAAGATAAAAAATAAATAGCCACCCTGCTAAGGAAAGAGGTTTTGACATTGACTCAAGCAATCCTAAACAAAGATCCTCACCTCAGACCAAGAAGGAAATATGCTTTTTTTTCTTCATTAAATCAGATGTTTGTCAAATGATTAATAACCAGCATGGCTGCTAAAGCCTATATAAGGCATGCAGAAACAAGTGACCAGTCAGGAGCTTCATTCAAATTACTGGCAGAATTGCCCAACAAAGTAAATATCCTTGCAAAATACTAAAACGGAAAGAGAAACTAAAAGAAACCACAACGTTCTCAGGGATAAAGTTAATTTCTAGGTTGTGGGAACGCTAAAGCTTAGTTTGCCATATGACCTTTAAACAGGACAATGATCCACAGAATATCTTAAAATCCACCAAGGCTTAGTTCCCGGGGTAATTCTTAATACAGTAATTCTCATATTAGAATAATTATAATTCCCCTACTTTTAGCTCTTTTGAAAATCTCATTGGCTTTGGGTAGAAACAGCTTCAAGGTGGTTGCCATCTTAGCATTGTAATCCATTGCATCCGAGTCAATGAGCCGATGCAATCAACTGGTTTTCCTTAGATAGAAAACTTTGAATCAATCTGACTGTATGGTCTGGTGAACTGTAAAGTGCCTTGAGATGACATGTGTTGTGAATTGGATCTATATAAATAAACTGAATAGAATTATCTTGTAGCAATAAGGGTTCAGATCCGGGCCTGAGTTCTGTCTACCTGGAGTTTTCATTTTTGCACCATGTCCGTACTCTGGCTTATTCCCTTGTCCAAAAACATGACTGTCGGGTAAACAGGTCCATCTGCAATGGAAATAATCAAAACCTAGATAAGTCATTTTTTCTTAAAATAAGTGCATATGTTCTTGGATTGAGGAGTTAAAAGACAGATTTTGCCAATGGAACAGGGCAATTTACACTTAAAATAAAAACATATTAAGTGCATTGTATCTAATAATCTTATTTTAAGAGTAAAAATGTTCATTCCATTGGCAAACTATCTCATTTACCTACTCAGATTAAGGGTAAATACACTTAATTTAAGAAATTGTTACTTATTTCTAGATTGTTTTTCCAGTGTAATTTGTCTTTAGAAGAAGATGTGTGTATGCTTGCTTTTCCTGTGTGTCCTGTGTTGTATGTTGATGGGGTTAGCGATCTGTTGGCGATCTGTTCAATGTGTAATCTGCCTAACCAGTAAACATTATTTGCAGTTGGCAATTGAAAAACTTTGGGTCCAGCTGTGTACTCTGAGTCCTTTTTTTTCACTCTGTTTCTGTCTTATTTCCTTTGCCGTAGTGGATTTAATCTCAGTGTCTCCTTCTCTATCCTTTTTTAGATATCTCCCCACTGTGTTTTCCTTGCAGTTTATCATTCGCTGATTACTCAGGTTCCTACTTCCTTCTTAACCGTAATATATCAACATTCCAACAATTCTTAC